ATACACCTGAGGTTGATTTATAATAACCTGAAGTGTAAAATGACACACCTTAGGTTGTTGAATAAATACTTCCACAAGTGTAAAAAAATATACTTCAGGCTGATAAGTAATAACCTAAGGTTGAAAATGAAGCACTTTAAAGTAGTAAATATCTACCTCCCCACAAATGAAAAATTAAACACCTCAAGTTGAAACATATATACCTCTGGAGGTATATTTAAAGTATATTTTAAATATACTTTCAGAGATATATATGTTTCAACTTGAGGTGTTTAATTAAACAACATCCTTAAAAAACATATATTTGATACATACAGTATATTTAAACATACAGTATATTTGAGGTTGATTTTGAGGTATTCCTTTGCACCCTTTTCAACCTTAAGGACGTATTTAAATAACAACCTCCTTTATACCTTTAAAATATACCTCGTTTATACCTCATTTATACCTCGATTTTTTCATAAGGGGTTAATCATAATAAACTTTCGTTTGTTTTTCATTTTTGTTTTGTTAAACGCAACAAGAAAAAAAAAGAAAAAAGGAATGAATTGTTATCATACCTGCGCTAGGTAATCTGCTGCCAGTTCTAGATTGTGGTTGTGATGTTAGTGGTTCAGGTGGATTACTTGAACCAGCCGTTGCCACCGCAAACGCTGCAGCCGCAGATGCTGTACTAGATCTGCAAATAATCATATCCAGTTAATACTTTTTTTGTTTATCTAAATATTGACGAAATATTTAGTTACTAGTACCTTTATGTTATGTGCCAATATGATGGTAAAAGGGATAAATAGTAGTATAAATAATAATGTTGAAGTTGTTGTCATCAGCCATTAAAGCAGAGTGGACACGTTTGCTTTTGTTTTCCAGTGTCGCCATCTATGGCCAAGAATTCAACCTTTGGCACACCCGTTTACAGGGCGGACCCATTCATACATCCATTCATTCATCCACAGATCCTAATTTTGATCTGAACCAGAGAAGGATTAATCTCCAATTCAGTACCCCGGAGATTGATTTATTATGGGATCATAGAGGATATTGTGACCCGACAGATTTAACATGCCCCAGTCACCATTTACTACACGGGGAATCTTTTGCTGACTAGAATCAAACTCCCGTCACTACAAACGTAGTCCAGTGCCCTGTTAAGCAGGCTATCCCAGCCAAATAATAATATATTGTAGGTACTAATATAATGACAAAATAAATTATTAGCACAAAAACAATGTCATGCACTGATATTAAGGGAAAACTAGATAATAATGTATTAATATTAATGTATGCTGACATACTGAGAAAGTTAATTATAAGTACATACACTATTAATTTTTACTGTATTAATTACAGCCTGAATTCCCAATATTTGCACGGGGTTAAAAAAAATAACGCATAGATCAGTACTAAACGCTCTTAAATCATGCAAAAAACTGAAAGTATATTTCAACACAATAAATAAAGCTAAAATAATTCCAGTATTATTTATTTATTTATTGTTTGTTGACCTTTCTCGTTGTTTTACTCTAATACATTGTGAAAAATCCATTTTTAGTATTTTATTTCATGAAAATAAAGTTCAACTGTTGCATCCTTTGGCATGTTAATGTTGCTCGTGGTCAACTCAAGATATCCAAAATTTGCTACAACCAAGGAACTTTCTGCGATGCTTATCACTTTCGTGACGCCAAAGGCAATCTTTTTCAACACTATCTAGACTAAAACTACACTGTACTGATGCTGTTTTAATAAGTGGTCCCAACTCAATTCGCAAAAGACCAATGGTTGGCGAGCTTATCATTAGAAACGTTAGACGTAGGTTATCTTAAATGTCAATCTTAAAGTGAAATTAAGTAGTGGTTTACCTTCTCGAAGATGCTCTAGCTGAAGTAACTACAACACCTGCTTTGCTACTGTGTTGAGGGGAATCTGGATATTGGAAGCTGCTTCGTGGCGTGGACAGAATAGTGGATTCCGTTTGGATACTGCTGCGTGGTGTGTTCGACATACTGGAACTTCCCTCTGTATCACTACTTCCTCTTTTACTTCCCGCTAGCAACGAAATTTTATAATATGAGTTTAGTTGTAAGATACTGGAATAGAAATCTTAGAGGAAAAAAAAACATTCAGCGACATTTTGAAAGCACCCATTTTCATAGCCTGCTGTTGGGATATTAAGTAAGAGCATAAAATTATTCTGTCATGAATCCCAACTTCTTAGAGTTTCAACATGTTCCTTTAACTGATTTTTTCTCACACTCGTTACTCTACTACGCAACATGTTCTTTCTCTTAGCTTTTCATTTTAAGGGGCAGAATAATATGAGAATTTTGGATAAAGTAGTGATATTCCAAACTTTATTCAAATTATACCAGATAGGTAATTTATAAACATCCGGAACTTTCACTTTATAACAACAAAAGGAGGAGAAATTATCATTGCTCACATGAAAATCGTATAACCAAAATATCTTTAAAAAAATTTTTCTCTTTAAAAGAATTTAAACAGCTCTTAATAGCTTCTCATAGCTTTTCCTTTTAAGGGGGAGAATAATGTAAGAATATGGGACAAGGTAGTGATAATCCAAACTTTATTCAAATTATACCAGATGGGTAATTTGTAAACATTCGGAACTTACACTTAATAACAACAAAATGCGTAGAAATTTATCGTTGCCCACTTGAAAAACGTATATAACCAAATTTCTTCAAAAAACAATACTCTTTAGAGCAATTTGAAAGAGTGACTTGTCTTAATCATCTGTAAATTATACAGTTATACAATTCGTTAAATTAAATATTCAGGATTCTAAATAACTGCAATCCCTGCAAACTTTCATACCTCCTAAATTCTTCATTTGAAAGGCTTGAGGCAAGATAGTGCCGAACCGCACTTTCTTTAAACTGTTATTAGAAAGATGATTTACAAACAACCGGAACTTCCATTAGATAACAGTAACATATGTAACATAGGCAATAACAACATGTTATTGCCTATTAAAAAAAACTTTTTTTAACAATTTGAAAGAGTTATTCATCATGTGATCCAAGCTCTACGCTTGCAAATTATGCCGCATTACAGCTTTTTTTTTTAAAAAGTAAACATTCAAGACTCTAAAAACCTACCCTGCTTCGGGAATTTTTATATCAACAATTTCTTAGTATTTTCTAGCTCGGTATTTTACATGTTTCCAGAATTTCCACTAGGTATTAGCGCAATAAACAAAAACATCTTGCAATTCACGGTGTTTTTATTATAAAACTTTTTCAAAAAACGTGCTCCGCAGAAAATGTGGCTTATCATTGTAATATCTCAAAACCATTATTTATAAAATCAAACTTGCAAGATCTTAAATACCTACCCACCCTGCGAATCAATATAATTTGCGCATTAAAATAAATTATGCCATAAAGCAGGATAACTTATGTAACATCCTGGCATGCTCACGAATCCAACTATTATATAGTTGCCTACATTTTAAGTTAGGATAAAATTGCTACGTCTATTGATTAGCTTAGAAACCAGTTAATATGCTAAATTTGTTCTCTTGTTATGGAAAAGTTTTCCTTGTTTATGGCACACTTAATTGATACAATATACAAGTCGTAAGAGTCGTATTTTTACTTATTTTCATTACCTCCTCTCACTTTCAAGTATGTCATGACATTTGGCACTGATTGACTTGGATGTATGAGCCCACTCTCGGCGGTTAAAGAGCCTGCTCTGGATGTAGGTAAAGGTCCTACTTGACCTAGTCCCGATGACGATGGAACTGGAGGTTTTTCTGCCGGTCCAGGTCCAGCCGCTATAGCAGCTGCGAATTGTGGCGACTGCTTGTATTGTTTTTGGAGGATAGCTGTTGCTTGCTGGTGAAGTTCTTGTTGTTGTTTTTCTGGAAGGACTCTGGAAGGAGGTGCTTCATTGAATGGAGGCGTGGGAGGCGTTGTGGGTGTTGCTGAGGAAGATGAAGGAGGGGTTGGAGGTGGTGTCTCATCAGGAACTGCAATGGGGGCCATTTGTCCTGAATGAGCAGGCATGGGCAATTGCTGTGGGGCTGATTTCCTGAAAAAAAGACATTGTATATTGTTGTGAGAAACACCAGAAAGTGAATCACTAAAACAAATACTACAGCAAAAGTAGGAGAGGCAATCAAACGACTTGAGTCAGTTATCGATGTATGAGTTCGAAATCTAGGTCTGAAACAATATAGTTTATTCCTATTTTCGCCTTTTGATCGCAATAGTTCAGTTATAGTTATTTTGTATAGTTTATTGATTTTGGTATATTATATTATGCTAGCATAGTTTCTCTCAATTGCTTCGATTTCTTTTGCTTTTCTTGGAGCAGTAATGGGTATGGTTGTTTGGGGGAAATTTACCACCAACCGCTGAAACTGCTCTCGCACTGACGGCATGGTGATGCCTCCCTGACGAAGCCGCCATGCATGTCATCACCTTCCCTTTAATTTCTTTTTAGAATTTTTTCTTTTTGATAGTTAGGTTGTTATTTCATGTCGTACTTTTTAGAAAGAGATATTTAATATGTTATTTTGTGTTAATGTTCTTCAGTATCTATCTGTCTGCTTAATAATTATTATACATATAATTATGGCATTAATTGCATATATTGCATGTAAATTATGCATAAAATTATGCATATTATTATTACATATAATTATTGTAAGTGCTGCATAATAATTATTATAGAACTATTTATAAAATGGAAAATCATAATCTTCATTAAGTAGAATTTATAAATATCACCAATTTTTTGTTTCATTTTGATGGAGGCAAGATAGCGAGCTGGACGCGAAATAAAGATAATCACAGAAAATTGTAGGTAAAACTTGAAAAATAAGCTTGGATATATAGACAAGAAAAATTTTTGAGGTTAACACTTATGTAATAATGATATCAAAAAACGAAGTGTCATTTCTGTCTATGGTTTATTAAATTTAAACATATAGTCGGTGTATTAAATTTTTAATTTAAAATATAATTATCCTAAAGAGATACAAATCAGAAAAATTAATTTGGCATGAAGAAAAATGGAATGCAACAATTAGTTCTATAAAATGTGAGGAGGTTTTGTTTGTATATAAAGTTTATAAACGGCGATATGCAAGTAACAAGGTTAGTTTTTTGTTTTGAAATAATTTCTGACAACTCGTCTCTACCATCAACATTGATTGTATTACTCTATTCTTTCATTTTTGTTTTTTGAACACATCTTCACAATCAGAAAGTGCCCTATCTGTAATACGTCAATTGCTTTTTCTTTTTTTTTCAACATTTTAAATTTCGTTTTTCTGTTTTTTCTGGTGTTGTAGCATAATATAATAAAAAAATCATATAAATTTTATTCGTGTTCTACAATAACAAAACAAACACAAAACTCAAAAGCTACAAAATCTGATAGTATAGCTTTTAATTTTGCATTCTGACCATTGTTTAACTATAATTGCACTTACTTAAAAATAGCATTTCTTTTATTAATTGCACTTACTTTTGCAGTGTTGTTATACTCATTATTAGTAAGCATTTTATTAACTAGTGTCGTTTAGTGAATGTGGTATAACATGCCACTGTTTAAAATTTTATTTAATATATTCTTTTTATTTTTGGAAAGCATAATATGAGTGTAGATATTTGAGTAACAGTTAAAAAAAAAGACTAAAATTAACATTACTTCAACAGGTGTAAGAATTATCAAAACAACTTTCTTAAAATCCATGGTTCATGTTAAATAATAAAGTTTTTCAATTTTGCAGCAAATTTATGTGGTGCGAAATAGAATTAAAGTAGAGAAAAAACTCTTTCTCGGACTTTATTACTCAATACCATGGTTCAGCGATTAATTCTAAAGTTTTGGAATGACAAATTACATCTAGCCTCAAAATGACACAAAAAAATGGTTTACGCTTGACACTGGTCGTAACTATCTCCAGAAAAACTTTCACCGTTTCAAGTCCTATCCTACGTCTTTATGTCATATGTCTTTATAATCTGAGACGGGTCATAGAAGATGACCACGTCATTCCTTGCCGAGTATTATTCAAACGTTCTCTGTGGACCGCTACTTCGGGGCCTTTTTGCTTCGTAGTCTATCCATACGCTACTTTTCTTGATCTCTATGTTTTTTTCTCTCTCTATGTTTGTTTTTTAAATGATTTCTTGTATTTATTGCTGTAATTGTTTTTCAGTCTTACCAATAGATATAAAAGAAATACTATGGTTCAGTGTAAATGAAAATACATCCATTTTATCACCGTGTTAAGATTCGTAGAATATTTTGCTAAATCAGTATTGCGGCTCAATGTTAAGGCAGTTTTTAGAAGACTCCGTCGTAATATGAAATAATGATTTTTGGGGAATTTTATAACTGCTTTGAGTTTGAAACTGTTACTAATGATTGTTAGGTCAAGTTTAGCTTATCTAAAGACAGCGCTGCCTATGCTTGTTTTGAAAATGACGCAAAACGCCAATATGGGGAAAAGCCACTGTTTTGTTAAAATAAAAAGCATTTTGTTTTCTAATTTTTTAATATTTAAAAACTAACTCCAATGCTGCATTACCTGGGCTCATAAAAATTTGCAACTGAGAATAAGACAGTGATTTAAATAATTTTCATCTAGGAGAAAAAATGTCGCCAAATTTGCCATTTTTAAAAAAAGTTTAATAACTTTTAAAATATTTAAGTAATTTGTTTATTCTAAAGCTCAGACAATTCTTCACGACAAGACTATATACATAGCTTAAAATCATCGAATTGCTTTATGTGTAAGGCACTTAAACTATGGCTTTCTTATTTTCCTTGGTGAAAGAGCTTTAAGAAACAGCGTTAAACAGATTTCTCTCAGAATGATCTAGCTTTATTTGATTTTAACATTAATTACGAAAAAAAAATTATAGAGACCACTGGGTGTTTTACCTGCTCGGACTAGGTTTCGGCGAATCTGAGCTGCCGAGACTGCCCACCAGGGTGACAGTACTAGCTGTGGTACTGAGATTGGTGGGTGTGCTGGGGTTGCTGGACTGTGACGTCAAGGTGTCGGCGGAGTGTGAGGGCGCCACTTTCTTCCCAGGTATGTTCAGCTTACTTGGATCATCTGGAAGTGAGCTGGTCATCTCTAGAGCTGCTTTCTCCGACCTATTTTTAAGAAATAAAATGACAGGTTTGAATATGGTGGTTGCAGAGAACGTCATGCGTGGGTCAGGCAATCGGGTGTGAGATGTCACTTGCAGGTATCCAATTAAATCTGATTCGAATATTAATTCAACGCGATAATATACCCAAGCCTTAAAGCTATAACGTTAACACGAAATGCACCACAACCACGTAGTTAGACAAAATCATGTGGTTAGTTGAGAGTACTTTTCTTTTCGAATCTTTTTCAGTAGATATTGTTAAAAAAGATGTAATTGTACAAAAAATAATTAGACTAGGTATTATTTACAAATTGAACTCAGTAAATAGGAAAAGCAATGTTTTCTTAATAAAATATATAATTTATTGTCAAATGAGCCAGCCTCGGTTACACTGAGCCAATCAAATCAAAAAAGTTCAACTGTTAACTGATTATTTTTAGAACTTTTCTTTGACTTGCTAAGAAGAAAAGGGGAAAACACTGTTGAAAAATGTAACAATGCACGTTAAATTACAATTGTTTTCTTTTGCATCACTTTGAGTTTTTAAGTAGTTGTTTAAAAAAGGACAAAAGTGTGCAAAGATAACTAAAATATGTATTTTTCGGAAGTCTATTTCGATGAACACGAAAATAAAGTTTGATTGACCAAATGCATAGTTCAATGAAACAAGAGCTGGAAACGGCTGTGCTCCATCTGATTCAAATAAATAAATTCAAGATGATGTGTACTGAAGATAGTAAAATGAAAAGAAATTATGTCTTACCCTCTCCCCAGGAAAAAAAAAAGAAAAACACAGTAGTATTTAAATAGGGGAAAGTTTACTAGGACATATTCGAGCAGAACACTTATCTAAAGATAAATTGATCTTAGGAAGATATTGCAAAGGATAACAACCGTTCTATATGAAGGATTACTGATTTCATATAAATGTAAAAACTAATCAACCCTTTTCATATAAAAATTTTTTTCTTATTTTTTATAATAATAATCAAATACTTCGAAGTAGAAAAAAGCAAAAAATAATACTCCTTTTTTTTATGTAAAATACTTATTCTTATTGTTCTATGGTGAGGTACTCATAGTGGGGTAAAAGCAAAAACTAATGTACCTTTTTGGCTCCGGAGAAGGTTGTGTGATTGGTATGAGTGGTTCTTCAGCCGCTGGGGCTGGTTCTGGTGTTGGTGGTGGAGGAACTGGAACTGTCATCGGTTCAGGACTGGGGGATTTCGGGAGATGTTCCCTCATCCTCTTCATCGCCTGCTCCCGTAATTGTTCCTCTTCGACTGAAATATTAAGGAAAAACAAAGATTATTTATTTTCAAATAAAATATTACGAAGCCATATAATTTTATATTTTACAATTTTTGGAGCCAATGTGAAAAATATGAATTGAATCAAACTTGGGCAAATTTTTTTACATTTTAGTAGTACCTGTTAGAAATACGTTAAACCAGTACAAAGTAAAAAAAAAACGAATATATCAGTACAAGCTTATAGCATTTGCACACTATAAATATAAAATTATCTTTTTTTTAGATAAGTATGTAAAAGTGAGCTTTACTGTTTAAAAATAAAACCGTAAAACAGTAATGTATGATAATTAATCATTTAAACTAGTTTTGCTGCCTCCTATTTGATTCGAAATCATTATTTTCAAATTGACAATGATTAAAAGCGATTAAAAATAATCCATTAAGGAAAAGAGTGTGTTAAACTGCATGTTTGTTTGATTTCATGCTTTACTTCAAACTACAGAAATGGAGAAAAATATTTAAATAAAACATTTATAGTGGAATATCACAATCTTAAATACAATATGAAATATACTTTCTGATCCCCAATCGAGTAAGAAATCATAAAATGACAAAAAAATTTTTAATATTATTTAGTTACAGATGGATAAATATTCCGTGGTTTTTGCTTACATTTCCTGTGGCTCAGTCTCCAATGTTGCTGACTTCTCGCGGCAAGAATCTGCTGTGCCTGTTGCATCTGTGCTAAAGAATCTATATGATCTCTGGCCTCACTCTCAGACATTACGCTGGTAGTACTGATGCGCCGTGAGTAGTCGTAGTCCAATACCACAGTACCCAGATCACCTGGCAGACCTGGAGGACCTTCTTCCAAAGAGCTGAAAAAAGTATCAAAACCAATTAGATTTTGAAAGACTGTACAAACTAATAAATTATTTCAAACTTTTTTAGTTTAGTTTGATACCCATTCGGGTATTAAATGAAAAATACAATGCGTTATGAATTTTCTTATAAATCGTTTTGTAGTTTTCTAAAATTATGCGGATTGTTAACGTAAGAAACGTAAAAAAGAAAAAAAAAACTAACAAAAACTGCTTAATTTTTTTTAATTCATTCATTGTTATTCACTGAGCATTCATTATTAAATGCTCTAAACGGTAACGAAACACATATTATTGAATACTGAATGCCCTAAGAATCAAATGAATTTAATAAAATAATGGAATTGTGTATAGTTACCCCGTCGAATCCTGAAGTGAAGCACTGATTTGTCCTTCTGGTGCATAATGCACTTTCTTTAGAGCTTCGAGGACGGTGACTCCATCTGTGAACACTCTATACGTTAACAGGAATGTGTTCAGGAAATCAATGCTCAAGAAGCGGAGGTCCGTTAGCCGCTCGAATAGCCTCTCAGGGCTAGCGTATCGGATCTGTAACGGGAAACACAGCTTTAATTGCACGAGTAATGTACGCATATTATTTAAATCAGTTCTGCGTCTACCTCAGTCCTGCGTCCACCTGCATCCCAGACAACCCAAATGTTTTGGCGGGGACACTTTGATGGCGAGGAATATAATAGCTAACCGCACCTTAAGTAAACATCGCAGCGATAACAGTTGAGAGATGTCAGCAACATCGTTTATCATAAAGCTCAACAAGGTTTATAAATTATTGTCAAATAGACATTGAAAGCTTGGAAAAATTTTAAACTATGCTACGCTAGTCTACGAGCTATGAGGTTTGCAATAAGTTTATATAAACAACCCTTTTATATCGAGCTTGAATCTGCCTTAAAAAAACAAGGCTAGAAAATCTTTCTGAAATCAAGGATATATAATAATTTGCCAATCAAAATTTGAAAGAGTTCTTAAACTAAAGAAAAATTCAGTTTCTGCATGTTTATTTTAGATTTTATCAGTGAAATAAGGTTTATTGGCACAGGCTTTTATATATTTAAACATTTTAAAAGTGAAGGTTGTCCTAATCATTAAGTTTTCAATACAAATAAGATGTTGCATTTGAGCTAGAAGGAAAAAAAGGTTTGAGTAAAAGTGAAAAAAAAAAAAGCTTTTTTTCTTGCAAAAGCTTTTTTGCATGTCAATATTCAGTTTTCTAAGTTCATCTATCTACTAAGTTCAAAAAATAATTAATTATTCATTAATTTCTGTCAGATTGTCAGCTATCTGGGATGCTTTTAAAAACGAAATACAAATTCAAAAGGAATAGAACTTTTTTATTTTCCTGATTCAAACACTATAATGATCTTTCGAATCAGACGAGGAAGATAGTCGAAGTTTTACTGACGAATCAAGCTGATTTTTTTTATGGAGTTAAAGGTTTTGGTTATGAAATAATCTATGCAAAACTGTTGTCTGATTCGCTTTGGTTGCAGAGACATTAATGCTTAAAAATGTAAATTTGAAAAAAAGTAATTGCAAAGAAACTTAGAAATATCTCCAAATGTACAACACTGAATACAGATGGAAATATAATGTTTAAGATACTTGAAAAAAAACTAATCAACTTGTAAAAAAACTTTTAACTCAAACAATTTCTCGTTCGATTTTAATTTTATTTATACATTAAAATTATTAAAAAAAGTCTTGCAAAATTTAGAATTATTCAGGAATTTTTCACTTTCTAATCTTATTTTATGATAAATTGGTTTAAGGGGAGACCCCATCTTAAGATGGTAAAATACTAGCGTTTTTCTTGAAATTTTTTTAAGTAATAGAGACAATGCAAAAACTCCTTTTTGTATGCTATTTGGCTACAACTTAAGTCTTTTTTAAAAAAATTTTCTCTTACAAAATAATAAAAAATAAGTTGGTGGCAGCTCCGTGTGTGGCTGGTCACCAAAAAGTAGCACCTCACTGGCCTCATGGATTCAGAAGTCCTCAAGCATAGGAAAATATTTTGCTTAGATTTTCTGAGACGTAAAGGCATTATCTAAAAATTAGTTTAGCAGTTTTTTGACATTCGCAAAATTACCAAAATGGCGGCAACTTAAGAAAAAGTTAAGTTTTTCATTAAAACAATATTCATTAAAATACTAATATAAAATCAAAATAAAAATATATCAAAATTATTCTATGCTACTTTCTAAAGAATATATTTTTACGTAATTCAAAATAAAGAACAGCTTATTTCGTTGTATAGATCATGAGAAAAACGTTAGGCCAGGTCAAAAAACAGCGTTTTGAGAAAAACGCGTTTAAAGTTTTGACTTATGATAGGGGAAAACGTTTAATTTCATATATATAATGGTCGATAAATGAATTGCCTACAATAAATTTCTATATACAGTCAACAGAATGGATGAGACACAAAAAGAATGTCACCCCTCCTAATTCGGCCGAGCGGGCCTTTCTACCTGCTTAGCGACGACTCTCTATTTTCCTGTATAACTTCCAAACGGAGTTAGGTACCGAGAAATCGTTTTAGACAGACATTAGGAAGGGTACAAAGATTCGAAAAATGCAATAAAATGTTTTTCGAATTTTTGAAATATTCTGGGTGGGGTCCCCCCTTAAATGTATCCTTTTTAAAACGCGAATATGAAAGTTTCCAAAGGCTGTTTTTTTAAGGCTCCGTCGTAATACGAAATGTTGCCTTCTTAACTAATAATATGCTATTTTTATAACTGCTGTGAGTTAGCAACTGTTACTCATAACTGTTAGGTCAAGTTTAACTTATCTAAAGCCAGCGTTGTCTACACTTAATATGAAAATGGCGGGAAACGTTAATATGGGGAAAAGGCTTAGTTTTGTGAAAATGAAAAGCTTTTGTATTCTAATTTTTTAATATTTAAAAACTTACTAAAATGCTGCATAATCTGGGCTCATAAGAATTTGAAAAAACTGAGAATAAGACAGTGATTTTGATACTCTTAATCTAGGTGAAAAAATATCACCAAATTGGCGATTTTAAAATTTTTTTAATAATTTTTAAAATATTTAAGTCATTTGTCTCTTCTGAAGCTCAGATAATTTTTCTCGGCAAGATTATATATGTAGTTAAAAGTCGTCATATTGCTTCAAGTGTAAGGCACTTAAACTATATATTTTTTATTATTTTCTTTGGCGACAGAGCCTCGAAAAACAGTGTTAAAGTTAACGCCTTCGTCTGCCGAAAAACTCCCTGACTGACGAATAAATCTGCGGCATAAATTAAGCTTAGAGACGTTTTCATTGTAAGAATTGCAGTTTTTGATAACTTAATAATAGCTCCTAAATGAGCAGAATAAGATTTATACATAGTTTTAGAACTTAAAAATCTATCTGCAAAAACTGCTGCCAATTTTTTTAAAGAAATTTCGGATTGCTTGTTAATGACATATTTGTTTAATCTTGTTAAATTGTTTACAAATATAGAAGAATATTGCAATTTATCTATAACAAAATCTGTTAGCTTCGCTTAGAGGAAAAACAAATTTTAAGTTATTTAGAATTAATCAATTTTCGAAGTAAATTAAATATAAACAAACTAATCATAGAGTAGAATTGAAATACTAACGTTTACAGTGCATTAACTTATATTTTAAAATATTAAGAAACACTATGTCGAAAACAAATTTTAAATCATATTAGTATTGAAGTATACAGGAGATATTAGTTTTGAAGCATGCAGACAGAATTATCTGGTAGTAATTTAGCTCACAGGAGTATACAGAAAAAAATATGTAGTTCAATATGCAAAAACACTCAAGAATAATAATTATACAACAATTTAGTTTAGCACAGCCTTAAATGTGCAGTGTAACATTGAAGTTATCATCATTGACATAACAGCCCACGCTGGGCCTTGGCCTTCTTTATAACATTTCTTCATGGAGGTTGTAACCATAATGATAAGTATACAGAACTCACTAGATCTTCTATCAAATCATTATACCTGAAGATCTCAAGAATTTTAGGAGTAATTATTTAAGTAATAGAAAACGTTTTTTAACCTGTGGTAATTTACAGGAATTCAAAGTTCGACTAAAACGAATGTCTACATCATCCTTGAACAATCTTGGATCATTCCTAAATAAAAACAAAAGAAATGCATTAAGCCCTTAAATTGTTTAAAGACTATATCGCTGGTTCAAAGTTAAAACGACATTTCTGCTTTCACTTCTCAAGTTATTTGAATGAGAAGTGAGTGCAGAAGTGTCGTTTTAACTTTGAACTAGCGATATATTGTCAAAATATCAATTGAAAATACATTATTAAGTATGTATATACACAAGGGTTGGACTAAATTATAGAAACTCTTCTGTACTAATACATTTTTTCATATTACTCCAGAAAAAATAAGTGAATCATTTAAGAATTTCAGAAGTTTTTAGGTCATGCGATTTCCCATACACATCAGTGAAGTTAAAAGCTTTTAGAGGTTTAATTGACCGACAATAAATTATAAACTCAAAATATTATTTTCGAACACCCTATACCAAAACATCTAGCTATAGATTTGAAACTTGTGACAGTTTGTTTGATTATTAAATGCAATAATTACGCGAAATTTCGTAAACATAGCTTAAATATTTATGGAAATGTGGACATTTTTATAAAAAAATAATTTTTTTGTCTTATGTTTTTTTTGCTATAATTTTAAAAATATTTAATAAAATTGAACAAAACTTTTGGAGCAATTTAAAGTTAATTGCAAAATTATTGTTGTAAAATTTGAGAAAATTTCGTTTAAAGCTGTGCAAGGTATGAGTTATTAAAGGGGCTCTTTTATACAGCGCATGCGCAGGAAAAAATTTAATATTTTTTTCTTGAATTTGTAGTGAATCGTGTTTGCAACTAATAAAGGAAGTCCGATTTGAATACTTTAAAAATTTAAGAAGTTTCAAGCAATTTTCTATATAGTTTTCGTACTTTTTAAAAAAAGAACTCAAAATGATAAGGACTTTTCCACAAATTTCATTTTGTATTATTAAAATGAATTCCAAAAATGACACTGTCATTGTTGGAAATCATCCTCCATGACAGTATCTTTTCTCTCGCCCGTTTTCTTTCCGTATTAAATCACTTTTCGGTGTATGAACCTTTATTGTAAGGTATCATCATTTGTTATTAAATTCTGTCTTCTTCTTCTTAGGCACTACGGCTGGTTATGGGCTCAGGCATTCATAATGTTACATAAAAAATACCAAGATTAAAAAGAAATTTTTTTTATGAAAATGTCCATTTTTTCATAAATATTTAAGCTAAGCTTATGGAATTTTGTGTAATTATTGCATGTAACAACCAAAATAACTGTCATAAGTTACAAATTATTTTTTCGCGTAGGGTGTCTACAAACATTATTTTCCATTTTTAATTTATTACCGATCTCTTAAAATTCTAAAAGCTTTATTCATTAAAATGTATGAGAAATTGCATGAACTGAAAACTTCTGCAGTTATAAAATGATTATCTTATTATTTATAGAGAAATATGAAAAAAAGTATTAGTTTAGAAGTGTTTCCATTATTTTGCCCACCCCCTGTACATATATTAAAAACAGTAATGTTATTGGCATTAATTGTTTTTGTAATACAAAATAACAGTTTGTGTTTGTTCTAATTATTGTTCCACTTATTTTATATTAATTTTATAAGAAAACAGTTTTATAAAGTAGTGTTAACAGAATTGAGTATTATTTTTATTATATAATTAGCGTTTTGATTTTTTTATCGAAATAATTTAATATGGATGCATTTTTTTTTAGTTTTGAAAGTGCAATATACATCTTATGTACAGTAGCAATTTATCGGTGGAAAAAATTCGTTAAGAAAAGTATGCTGTTATAAATTCTATGAAATAGAAGCAAATTTTTGATTCTGCTTTTTTTATAACAAAAGGTGTCTAATTGGAAAAAAAAATTTCCCATAAAACACAAATTATTACAGTTTAATACTCTGTAACCCGAAATGCTATAAAAATATCGTACAGATTAATAATTTGTTTCAAAAATTCGGTTAGTAATAAAAACGTTTGTTGTAATACTTGAATATTACTTCAGAGTTTTTGTTTTAAACTTCCTTGAAAGTTTTTTCAGCAAATAGCAACAAATTTGCTCTAAAATTTTAACATTTTCGTTCAAAATAATAACATTACATACAATAATAACATTACATTGAAAATTCCTGCAGTTATTAGGTTTTAACTATATCACTGATTTTATACATCTGTACACTTTTCGAGTTACAAACTATTTTACAATAATAACTTATTTAGAAATAGTTGCAGCAATAGTTGTATCAAATCAAATTTTTAAATGTTAAGTATATGAAAAAAAATGTATCAATTAAATACAATAGTATTAAGTTTTTCCACAAGGATCAAATACCTTGAAACAAAATAGCTGGTAGAACATGGTGTAAAATGTAATAATCCATTTGTAGGGAAAATTAACATATAAAATTAATAAATGGACAGAATTAAATATTTTCAGCCAGTTTGTATCAAATTAAACATAATGCACATATAGAATACTGTAATTGATGAAATGAATTAAAAGTAATAACGTTAACTTGTAATTAAATTAACATCCGATATTAAAAGAATCACAGACAATAGAGCAGTTGTACGTAAATTTCAGAAGAGATTAATTTTGCTTAGAAAAAGTCTCGCAGTATATATTTATAATACAATAAAAACACATTTTTTTTCACAATGTATTTAACATATTTGACATATATTTCATTAAAAATATATTTTTTTTACTAAATCATTTATTTTTATTGTCTGTAGTAACTTTAGAATTTGACAATTCAATATTTGACAGAAATAAAACAAGAACATTTTATTGCGTGTTTTATTCTTAAATTAAACTAAATATTGACCTTAGTTTAGTTTTAAATTTAAAAAAAGAAAAACAAGAGTCAACAAACTCATCACAAGTTCAAAGGGGAAATTTTTACGCACGATAAATTCGAACAAAAAAAGCCGGAGTGGCTGCAAGCTCCGAGATGTGCAGGATCTCCATACACACGTGGACCTAGACCATGCGCAGAAAGGGCCTTTTTCCCAGACGCAAACGATCGAACGATGCTTTTCATCGTTGCTCTTACGACAGTCCCTCTAGTCCACTCTACTACGTTAGTAAAACAGATAATGTAACATCCGTTGCAATACCGGCCATTTTATAAGGCGATTCATGGTGACATATGGCACATTATGAGTGTCGAAAAATAAAATCTTAATTAATCATGCTTTTTGGTCGCATCTAAGATTGATTTTATACTATAACAACAAATGTATGGCTTTAATTTTATGACTCATTTCGTTGACCACTGAGTCATTTCTCAAAATTTCTTTATCTATTGTATCTATGTAAGATAAAAAAAAAGTTATGCCTTCTATGCCAAAAGTAGATTATGTATTTAAAGAAATATTCGATATTCTTAAAGGTAATTCGCTTAAATGTACGTTATATTGTTACTGAAAAAGAAATAATCTGCAAATTTCATTTACAGTTCGTGTCCATTTTAAATAAGTGGTAAAACTCACAAGCCACCATTTTTTTAAGTTGACGTTCAATACAAAATTTGAAACCGAAAAAATTGCTTCAATAATTACTTTTTTTTAAACTACGCATAATAAACGCGAATACGATTAAAGTTATCTAAATATTTAAACATAAATGCAAATTTAATAAGAGCAATTTCAATTGTATGATTATAAAAAATTCTAAAGAATTTTAAGCTAAAAGAAAGACGCCGACTCTTTAATTCTATACAGTTTTATCTATTAGTTAAAAACGAAGTAATAGACAAAAGTACTACTTTTAAACTATTAACCTACCTAATAAAAGAATGTAATACAGAATGATATGATATCATTTACATGTGGGCGTTATCATCAAGGATAAAAATAGCCAGCTAAATTAATTGAAAATGTTAATAGGCTATGCTTTATATCTGGCATCATTTTGTGTTAGTTATAATGAATCAGGTATGTTAAACACGGTATAGATTGACACATAGGAAAATCAAATTATATAAAATTTATGTGTGATATAGTAAAGAAATGTTGAAAAATATGCAAAACAAGCACACAATTTTAATAATTATTCTGATTCAAAATATGCTAAGTGTGATGGCAAAAAATAAAAAATTAGGTGTACGCTTTGCACACTTTTACTTTTTCATCTGTCTTTATAAGCAAAGCACATTTCATTTTCATTTCACAATGATAACTCAAAACTTCTTTATAAACTCATAAAATATTATGTGCAATAACTTTTAATGCACCAAAATACATTTTTTGAACAAACTATAAAGAAAAATCATCAAGCAGATTTTTACATAAAATAAAAAAAATTTATTTCCTTTAAATCATTTGAATTTTGTTGTTAAGTATTAGAAGTAACACTATCAGATTAGAGTCTATTCCTTTTAGGGTGAAATTCATTCCCCATCAAAACAAAATTTCTGACAATTTTAAGAAACTCTTTACCTATAGGGTAAAGTGACCAGATTTATCAGCACCCTTAAAAAATTATGCTAACTGAGGACACCTACATATTAATTTACGTGTGAAACAAAGTTTGTTTTAATTGAAAACTACTAATCAGATGCAAAGCCATCTTTAACAAATTTGATTTCATTCTTAAGGAGTTTTGAAATATCATATAATATTTTGCATGTGAACACTTGCAAAATGAATAAGTACACGAATAGTAAAGTTTGTTTATTTTTTTACTGAAACTATTTTGAAACTATTTTTCATCTGTTAGTTTCAGCATGGAATTTTTTGTCTTTCGTTGTTACTTTCGCTTTTCCATTGTGCGCTCTGTAAGTCAAAATTATCTTGTTTAAAAAACAAACAAGATAATTTCTAATTTTTTCGATATTTTACTGCATATATATAAAAAATTATAAGATTTCAAAAAAATGCGATTTCATTTTATTAAAAAATTTGAGGACATTTTCTGTAATCAGGCAGTTTGAAAGTTTTTGCGAGTAATTAATGGAATTTGAGGATTGTGCTCAAGATTTGAGAACGTTTCGCTAACTTACCATAGGGTGATATATCTTGGTCTTTCTATTTAGCCTTATGTGTCGAAAGTGTTCTGTCCTTGCTTCTTCTATTTTTAGATGTTTTTTTTTCTAAATTGGTTTCTTTAAATGGAATTGTTCCTAAATGTTCTCAAAATATATGTCAAAAAATAGACTAAGCACTCATTAATCGAGCTTTTAATTTGTATTTTACAACAAATTGCTTTAAAAAACTTTCTAGATCGATTTTGTTACATGCATTGCAATGTAAATGTTATTTGAAGATTAATATTTTGTCTAAAGCATTATCTATCCCATAACTTAACTATTTATCATTTTTAGAAGGAAAACAGAATTCTAAAATAATAATTTAAAATTCTCCTTTATCCTTAGAAAAAGAAGAATGAAATTACAAGTTGTTTCGATATAGTTGAAAATGTTTTCTTCCCCAATTTCTTAGAAGTACCTAAGAAAACTAAAGTTTTGAAATTAAAGACGCATTCTAATATAATTTCTTTTTAAATAAGTAATTTTTAAAAATATTTAGTTTAAATAGATGTGGGGCAAACAGAGGAGGAAATATATAAATTTTTTCTCAAATTATTAATTTTAATATCATTAATTAGTGCAGGACCAGATATAAAGAAAGTTCTTTTAGAAATAAATAAGAATAGTGTTTTTTATTACTCGATTTCATTGAAAATAATAATTTTGACACTTTAATACATGATAAATTCGATTAAAAAAATTTAGGTGATCTTCTCATATAAGTTATTACTTGATTACATTGGAAGCAAACATTTTAACTCTTCAATACATGATAATTTACATTAAACAATTTATGTAAACTATTTATTTACCTTTTTCTAGACTTCATTGGAAACAATTATTCTGACTCTTCAGAAATTTAGGGGAGATCTTTAGTTACTTATTATTCGAAATAATTGGAAACATGCATTTTGACTCTCTATTATTTGATAAATTTTGTTAAAAGTTTAGATGAGATTTTTATTTACTTATTACCCATCTTCATTGGAAACAATCACTTCAATTTTTTATTACGTGATGAATTGTAGTAAAAGTATTTCGGTGAGAATTTTATTTGCTGACTACTCAATTTACAATTGAAACAAACATTTTGATTCTTCATTACATGATAAATTGTATTAAAAATGTTTGGATGAGCATTTTATTTGCTTATTAATCGATTTCATTGAAAACAAAAATTTTGACTCTTTACTTCGTTATAAATTGTATTTAAAAATTTAGATGAGCTTTTTATTTATTCATTACTCGATTACATTTGAAACAAGCATTTTGACTCCTCATTACGTGATAAATTGTATTAAAAATTTAGATGAGCTTTTTATTTATTCATTACTCGATTACATTTGGAACAAGCATTTTGACTCCTCATTACATGATAAATTGTATTAAAAATTTAGATGAGCATTTTATTTGTTTATTACTCGATTACATTTTAAACAAGCAATTTGACTCTTCATTACATGATAAATTGTATTAAAAAATTTAGATGAGCTTTTAATTTATTCATTACTCGATTACATTTGAAACAAGTAATTCGACTCCTCATTAGATGTAAATTGTAATGAAAATTTAGATGAGCATTAGCTGGTTTGAATTTTAACTCTTTTTAAGAGATGTCCAAGATATCGTCAAAATCAATATTTAATCAAAATCGTTTTATGTTATTTAATATCAATGTTTATTATTAATATTATTATTTGCTATTTGTTATTACGATGTATTATTTGATATCAATGGAAGCCCCTTAATAGTTATTTGGCGAGCAAATTAAATTTATTTTAATTAAGTATTATCATTTAAAGAAAATTGTGAGTTCAATTTAAAAAAAAAACGTCTATGGAAAACTTAAATGACTGGATAAACTATAAAATTTATTAAGGAATCACCATATGGGGTGGGGATTATTACAATAATATTAGCTGTTTAATCACAATACAAAACATATTTATTAAAATGTTTTCAAACAGCAATGCAATCATCTTCAATCTCAGTTCAAAATTATCTCAGTATAAATATTTATTGCTTCATGGTATTTGCTCGTAAAATACTAATTAATTAAGCAAAAATTCTGTTCTTCGTTAAACAAGAGTATTATATTACAGTCTTAGAGCAACCGATAGTATTTCCTTATAAGGAAATTTCGCACGAAAACTTTTCATTTTAGGCCCTAAACGATACAATATATTACCTCCACTAATAAAATCAGAATCCTCTATTTTAAATTACGAGAAATTATTAAAAGCATTTAGTTTTACAATTGGTGGCATAAAATTTTTTATTTGTTCTAATTTATTTGCTTTTATTTGTCCTAATATCCTAATTTTTTTGAAGAGCAGCTTATATCCACTACATTTTTTACTATATAATATTTTCATAATTTAAATGTTTTCCTTGTGCTCAATTTTTTGGGATAAATCTTTTTAGCTGCCTGTAGGGGGATACTCATTGTTAGTACAAATCTAGATTTTTTTTGTTTTTACTTACTTCATGGGTTTATTAATGTGTTTTTTTTATTTAATTTGATTCTACGAAATAATTAATTTTTGCAAGTATTTTTTGGATGTTATATATAAAAAAATTATTATAATTATTATCACGTTGATATTCAGATAAAAATACTTAGAATATTTTAATGAAGTGTGAAAAATATTTGTTGATCAACTTTCAGTTGGTTATCGAAATATTTTTCCTTTTAGAATTTACGTTTATGTATAAAAAACGTAGCTATTATTTAAAAAAAAATGATAGAAACATATTTGTTTGCTTCAGATGAATTTAAAAATACAGCAAGCAGATTATTTTTAGTTATGAGGGCAAAAATTTCATTAAATTCCTCTTGAAACATCTTAATATTCTTTTGAAGAGGGCATTAAAAATCATCTACAAAAATTTTCTTTTTCGCATAAGGATCTCGCGTTAAAAGTATTTATGTCCAAAAATTTACCAGAGTGAATAAGGTAAATTGCATGTACTTTTTTTTTAAAGAAATGCAGCAGCCTTAGAATATCAGACGAGCATTGTTTAAATTATAAAATTTCAAAAATCAAAATTTTGTGTTAGTATTTAGGTTCGAAAACTTAGTAGTCAACTTAAATTCCAGGTGAATTTTAATAATAATATAGCAATTTAAATTACATCTATGTTTTGAATTAATTAGCCTGAACTAATTAAAATTTGCAAAAGGTATTTACGTGGAACATTTATCGTATTGGATAGTTGGAATTCCATTTACCTTTCCTTAAGAAATATCGAAACTTAAATAAGGTGATGGGTACTCTTTGAATAATTCAAATTGAATTGTTGAATACCGCGATGAAGATATTTATGTACGAAAAGCTATCTGTTTCAATAAGTTAAATCCCTTACCTTTCTTATGTAATATATAAACGTAATATATCAACTTAAATTTGGTATAATGATTTCTTTTAATTATTTAAATAAATTTATTGACTTTTGCGTTATAAAATATTTACTTATGGAAACTAGTAGAATTGGACAATTAAAATTCCAGGTGCAACTTTAAGTATCGTATCAAGCATTCTCTGAATTAATTACATTGAATTATTTGAATTTTGTGCTAGAACAAGCACAGAAACTAGTTAAATTCAAGGTACCATTTTTTAAGTAACATAGCAACTTAAGGTAGGTACAACTATTTTTTGAATTATTTAATTCGAGAATAAACTTAAAAGTTGTTTACACTAGGTAAATTCAAACAAAATTATAAAATAAGTATGAAAATCGTTATTTACGATAAATAAACAAAGAACATTATCATTAAATTAAACAAAGTGAATTTTTTCAGAACGAAAAGGCTCCAAGAGAGTAACTGTTAAAGAATGGATCAGGATTAAGATGTATCTTTGAGAAAATCTGAAAAATATTCGAAATTTTTAAAAGTAATTATATAAGTAAACACTATGTACACTGTAAAAAATTTCGGAACAAATTGCGGTATAAGATATTGGCACTTTAGGCACATCATCAGTAAAATCCATTTTACAATAAAATTAATTTTCATCGTAAAATATTATACCACAAATTTTGCAGTAAAATATATTTAATTAGAAGGATTTAAGGGTTACCCGGATTCAAATACCAGCGAAAAAAATTTTGCACCCGGTTCTCACTGACCACAGTGCTGACGTAAAATATCCTCAGTGGAAGACGGGTCATGGGTTTCAGTCCCCCTGCCATCAGACTGACCATGGAAAGTTTTCGTGGTTTTCTTCTCCGTGTAACGCAAATGCGGGTTTGTTCCTTCAAAAAGTCCTCCACGTAGGCAAATTTCTCCCAATACTTGATTCAGGAGTTCCCTTGTCTTATGGATTGGTAGTACCGGTATCTTTTGTTTTCCGTATTTTTGATTCGGAGTATTTTGAGTATATAAAATGCATCAATATCATAACTTAATCAGTTGTTAATTTGAGAATAATTATTTTTATTGCACTATAAAGAAACAGAAAATTGAAATAGTTCTCACCGAATGGAGTGAGGCATGGTCACAGATGATGAGTCACTCATTGTTCCATGGAAAAGGTCATTAAAATGGACATTGTCAATACACTAGATAAACACAACATTTAATTAAATAACTTTTCAGCATAGTGGTGAGATATATATATATATATATATATAAATTGTATTAAAAATNAACACCAAAATACTGTAGAAAAAACCCCATATTTACACTTGAATTTAAGTGAATAGGGTCTACAAAAAGAAACCAAAGACATTTAAGCACTTCAAAAATTCATATACAATTACCATATTCTATAGTAATGATATTTCTGTTGAAAAAAATCACAATTCTGGATGATAAAGCCAAGCTATATGGTTGCGTAATTATTCGTTTATAATTCTTCCGTTCGTAAAGATTTATCAGAAATTTTGGTTTTCAAAATTCCAATTTTTTTTATCACACATTTAGCGAAAAATAAAAAGCTAAAGAGTAACTTTAATTGAATAAATGGCTTTTACGCCATTCTTTAAGTTATCGGGACGAAATTACTAAATTTTGTTAAATTTACAAAATTCTTTTTTGCATTATTATGAAGCCTATTTCATTGTTAATTTTATCCAAAGTCATTACCAAAGCGTAGTACGTACTACTTACGTGCAATACTTACTACATACAGTGTAGTATCGTAAGTTCGCTATCGTAAATGCTTCTTATTTTTTTTTATTATGCTTTTATCTATTTTTTGTAATTATTTGTATATAGTGGTGGTCCAACTCATTTATAATTATTATTATAATTAAAAACGTTTAATGGTTTAAAAAGTAAGCAATCAGTGTGTAAGTATAAATGGTCAGAAATAAATTGGTCCAAAAATTGCTTAAGTACCAAAATTTTGTACAAAAAATTAGGTCAACAGCCCAAATTACTAAGCCTTACCTGTTCACAATACAACAGGGGAATATTTTACCGGCGCAACAGGAGTAAATAGAGTTAAACACTGCTCTAGATCTTAACGATACAATAAATAAATAAATAGTGCTATGGAAATTCAGCATAAATTAAATTCCATCATTTTTCAATATGAAATTTTTAATGAAAAATTTGGAGTATTTATCATAAATATTGTAAAAATTTCAAGAAAATAACAGCTTAAATGCTGCGCTAAAAGTAAAAAAAACATCAGTCAAATATTATACTATTAATAAATACTACGTTTTAAAACATATATATATATATTTGAAAATTTTTTATTTGCATTAAATTCCTAATCATATAATATTCCTATATCGTTTATAATTCCTAATCATATAATATTCCTATATCATCTATAATTCCCAATCATATAATACTCCTATATCAGTTTTCCTATTTCATTTTCTTCATTTTGTAATAAGGAAGAACAATATTGTTTTATAGTAAAGTTCGTGGGTAATTAATTTAATATGCTGATATATTTCGCATCAAATTTACTTCTCTTGTACTCAATTTGATGCACACGCAGTGATAAACAATTATCTCTGTTATCAAACATATTTCAGCAATGCAGTTTACTTATACGAAATAAAAAATAAATTTAAACTGTTACTAAAATAATGTACTATAATAAAATAATATATTTCAAAGAAGTATTTTGCTAGAAAAATATCTGCATTAAATTATAATTTTCTAGCAGTATTGTATAGTTTAATCTGTAATAAAAGATAAAAAGATTATTTTACATTAAAGTAAATGGGCAATTAATTTATATGCTGATCAATTTCATATCCAACTGAATAATAAGACAACAAAGTTAAAAAAATCATCCGCACTAAACTATAACCTTCTAACATTGTATAATTTATATTGTAATAAAGGAGAAATATTGTTGTACAGTAAAGTAGATATGCAATTAATTTATATGCTGATATATTTCACATCAAACTGAATTTAAACAGTAAAATTATTTCATTTCATCGTGTGTGTATCGTAATAAATGATTGTTTTGGTTGTCTAATTTAGTTTAGTGTTTCAAAACTACTAACTCTAAACATATCAACACTTAATCTATACCTATTTCTACCATAGCAAAGTAAAATACCGGACTTTATGTTTCGTGATTGAGTGCATGAAATATGGATGTTAGGAAGGAAATTAAGCAAAAAAAATTATTGTAATTAAGCAAATTGTATATTTCCAATTTTCATGAATTACAGACACAAAGAATTGGAATTTTTAATTCAGTGCTCAACGCATTTTTTACATATACAGGGTGTTGTACATTTTCCCCAAGCATATTTCTTCCAATTATTATTATTCCTATAATTCTTATAATTATTCTTATAATTATAAGAATATAAAAGAATTATTAGAATTATAATTCTTGTAATTATTCTTCTGTATAATTAATATTATTCTAAGAACTAATGCTGTCTTGATTGTTTCGGCATTTTTCTGGGTAAAAACTATCAGTTAGTTAGAAATGAAGCAAAGCTATCAAAATAAAATATAATCTACTTACAAAAACATTTAGTTTTGTCACTTTTCCTTACACAAAAATGTCAATCTAAAATTTTAGGCACTTTCTAGAAATTTGAATTCGCAGTTATTCTGATTGAACTAACTATTCAACAGTCTTAGCAGAAATGTGCAACTAATATGGAATGCAATGTTATTGAGCACGCATTACATCGTAATTTCTGATCCGATAACCTTATAAAGCAATAAATTGTTCTCCCGGTCAAATGACCGGTTGTGGTAGAAATAGGTATACGACAAGTATTATTGGAAAGAAACAAAATACAAACAAAATTATAATAGAATATTAACTGTATGCAATTGTTAGAAAAGGTCATGAAGTCAAATGTGCAAAAACGATAAGATGATAAGCGTTTTTTCTTTCTTAAACGGTCATTTGATCGGTTATGGTATATTTAGTGTTAAAGAGCATGAAAATTAAATTTAAAGTCGAATAATATATTACAATGAAATATTTTATTTAATCTCCTGGATATTTCGTTAAAATTTATTTACAATACATTATAATTTTCTAGAAGCAATTTATAGTTTATAATGTAATAAAGGGGCGGGGAAATAGTATACCTGTTATTAATTTAACATAGATATGTTTCGCATCAAATTGAATGTAAGACATTTATAATTATTTCATTGTACCATGCGTATGCAGCGATAAATGATTATTTTAGTTATCAGATAGGTTTTAGAAATTCAGCACAATCATTCAGCTTTAAGCAAAATGCGACTAAAGAGCAAAACAATATACTGAAATAAAATATTAAATATTAAATTGTAAATAGTTCTTTAGAAAAAAATATGATCAGAATTAAGTTATAATTTTCCAGAAGTGATTTTAGCTTACATAGTAAATAGAAAGAAAAATACAGTTTTACAGTAATGTGTAAATTGTAAATAGTTCCCCAGAAAAAAATATTATCAGTATTAAGTTATAGTTTTCTAGAAGTGATTTTAGCTTACATTGTAAATAGAACGAAAAATACAGTTTTACAGTGGTATGTAATTAATTTAACATGATGATAACATATGATTGAAGACAAGGCAACTAAACTGTAATATGCAGTGATAAATCATGATCTTTGCTATCAATTATATTTAAGTAATTCAGCACACTTGTGCAACATGAAAAATAAATTCGGCACTGTTAATCAAATAATGTACTACATTGAAATACTATATTATAATCAAAGATAGTTTGTAAGAAGAATATTTTCTGCAATAAAAAAATTAGTAGAATTATTTAATTTATAGTGTAATAAAGAATTATAATATTGGTTTACAGTAACGTGAAATTACTTTAATATGATGATTATTTTGCATCAAATTGAATAAAAGACAACAAAACAATCTATTATGTATATACAATAATAAATGATTATCTTCGATATCAAATGGTTTTTAGTAATTCAGCACACACTTGTCAAAGATCAGTTCAACAATTTGTTTTTAATTCGGCAATAGATTAAATAATTAATTTTCATCGATGCAAAAATATTTAATTGCAAATTTTCTGATGCTAATCAATATCACTTGCATAAATACACAAAAAACCAAATTAGCATGAACAATATATGTTAAAATACTTATAAAAATCAACTGACAAATAAATTTTCTTTATAATCACCTAAAAGCAGATCATACATCTGAAAAATTAGACATTTTGGTAATGATATTTATTATATCAATAGGCAAAGAGCACAATAAGCCCCGTGCAATTGTTGCTGCAAGTTGCAACTCATGCATCGAAACTCCTTAAATGTTGCTCCTCACAGAGCTTGAGTTAATATTCACTGCATCAGCATCATTATAAAGGAAAAGCAACATTTACACAGAATGCACGGATTTTATTTTAATAACGGAATATATCCGGTTTATTCCGTTAAGCGAATGTTGACAATCATTCGCATTCATCTATGAGCAATTATCAGGTGATCATGACTGATGATTAAAAACTTACCTGGCTGATGTCGCTGGTCCAGGCGGCTTTTTCTTGCATGCTGGGGGCAACTAGATGGATAGTCGCCTGGCTTCCATTCTTGAAGTCGACCACGATCTTGAAGTCAAGACCGCCATAGTCTTTTTGCGTGCTGTTGGCGCTAGATGTCGCTGCACTCGCCTCGCTGAAACCACTCGACTGACTTGAAGCAGAGCTGATCGAACCTAGCAACGAGATGGGTTTCGGTTAATGCTGGGTAGCAAAATGAGCGTTGTGCGCATTTACTCGGCTCACGCACTCACACATACACACATGGCCAGCGCTTCTCTGACCTATGCCTTTCCGAGTAGAAATTGTATTCGACGAGAGTGAAATGTTAGACTCGGGATTCGGGATAATTCTTTTGTTTATGGTATTAGGATGGATTCGCTTTCATGTCCTTTCTTACCAAGATTTAAATTTGAAATTACATTTTTCAACCAGATGCAGTTAAGACTTCGAACAAGGAATTTAAAATACTCGTATTTATAAAAGAAGGTTTTCGTTCTCTGACCTATTGTTTCCGGGAACAGAATAGAACGATTTTATTCATGATTTTAAAAGTTTTATTTTTAACATTTTATAGAGCAATTTAATGTTTTAAATTCATATTTTGAACAATAAGATTTTAATAAAATGTCAGTAGGTGTTTGGAATCTTATATTTAAGAAAATGCTGTAGCACAAACAAATAAATTTAGCAGTGGAAAGTGTCTTAGTGTATTAAAACTGCTGTGAATATTTACTAAAAATTCGCTTTCATGTGCTTTCTTACCAAGATTTAAATTTGAAATTACATTTCTGAACTAGATACAGTTAAAACTTTGAACAAGGAATTTAAAATTCTCGTATTTATAAAAGAAGGTCTTCGTTCTCTGACCTATTGTTTCCGGGAACAGAATAGAACGATTTTATTCATGATTTTAAAAGTTTCATTATTTTAAAAGTTTCATTCTTATTTTATCGAGCAATTTATGTTTTAAATTCTTATTTTGAACAATAAGATTTTTATAAAATGGTAGTAAATGTTTGGAATCTTATATTTGGGAAAATACTGCAGCAGAAACAAATAAATTTAGCAGTGGAAAGTGTCTGAGTGTGTTAAAAACGCTGTGAATATTTACTGAAAATTGTTATATTTTTCTAAAAAAATGGTTTAAAAGCATTAAAAAGAATGTTAAAATTCTGTAAAGGAAACTTTATTTCAAAAAAACATATTTTTTGAAATATTTCTGATTTTAATTTCATAAAAAAACATAATAATTTTATGCAATATTTAAATAAAGTTTTACGAATTCTTAACATGTTTTTCTTTAACATGAACAGCTGTAATGTGCACATTGAAACAGAATTCAATTATATTTAAACTTTTTTCTCTTAAATTTGATTTTTATATATGCGCTTATTTGAAGTTAGTTTTCATGTGTCTTAAAAATAGCTCAACTTTTATCGAAATGGCAGTGAATAATTATGAAAAACAAAATTTTTTAATACACTTTCTGCTTGTTCGATATATAACATTTTGTTGGGCATTGAATCAGAGTTTAGTTATAATTACTCACTTTCTCGTTAATTTAATTTTAATTTTTCTACGGATTAATTAACATTTTGAGCTACAAGACGATTCTAAAATAACATAAGAAACCTTATGAGTGGGGAATCAGTGGATCAAATACGGAAAATATTAGTACAAAAGATACTTTTGAAGTTTTTTGTAATTATATCTTTTTAGGCATAAAAAATGCTTAAATATGCGAATGAACGTTGAAATTTTTTACAAACTTCTAAATCAACTTTTTTTTCTTTTAAAAAGTCTGTTTATGCTCGATTGAATTTTTTAACTCTCATATAAAACTTTTTTGAAACCTAAATAAAATTTCGACAAACTCCGCAAATTTTATACCGTATAAAACTTTTAAAAGCCAAAATAATTTGCTTTCAAACAGGTCGGTTGACATAGGACGACTCGGTAAGTTTGCATAGAGTAAAAATCATTTTAATTCTATGTAAAACGTTTTGAACCCTACGTGAAATTATTCAAACTCTACGTGAAATTTTATAATTTAGACATAAAATTAATTATATACATCAAAGAATTTAAAGACTAAAATATTTATTTTTAAAAAGGATAAGAAATAATTTAAATTCCATTTATATTTTTTCGAATCATTTAAAAAATTTTCGAAACTTGAAATTATTGTTCTTAATTTTATACATCAAATTTCACATAAATTTTTTTGAACCCGAAGTGAAGTATTTCAAAGCCTTCAAAAAAATTTTTAAAACTTGAAATGAAATTGTATGACATCCAATTAAAAATTTTAAAGCTCTAAATAATCATTTTTTAACACCATAAGTATATTTTTAGATTCTATTCAAATTGTTTTAAACCTTTTGAAATATTTCAAAATCTGAGAAATATTTATTTTCAAACTCGAAATGAAATTTATTATATCCTATGAAGATCTTTACAATTCTAAATTATTTCGCTATGTATATTTATAAGTCAAATTTTATGTAAATTGTTCTGAACACTTTGAAAATTTAAAAACCCTATGATCTTTTATTTATTTTTAAACTCAACATAAAATTTACTTTTCCTATAAAAAATTCTAAATTTCTAATTTTTTTGAAATTTTACATGTTAAATTTTATGTAAATTGTTTTAAGCACTGTGCAAAAATTTTCAAATCCTACGTGAGATCTTTTAATCCCAACATGTACCTTATTTTAAACAATGGAAGAAAGCATTTAAACTAGAACGAAATTTATTTGAACTCTAAGTAAAACTTTTCGAACCCTATGAAGTTTTTAATTTCATGAGTTTTTTTAACAAATATAACCATACATGGCAATACGTTTGCTTTCGTTACTTGTAACGAAAGTTTAAGTAAAAAGCACGCATTTTTACTTGTACTTCGCAATTTTTTAAATTTAGTGCTTTTACTTGTTTCTCATTTACTTTTTGGGGAGAAAGTACAAGTACTTGTAACGAAAACGTCTAATGAAATCGTTATTTTCGTCTAAAATGTTTCAAATTTTTCCACCAATTTAAATTTTTTTCCTTCGAAATTTTAGAAATCATTATTCTTTTAAAATTTATAGTTTTAATTCATTGTATATTCTAGCTAACATCTTTTCCCAAACACCTTTAAAGATTGTAATTTCTTGAGAGGGGTGAATCTTTTGAACGTTCAATGACTTATTTTCGCAAAAGTCACTGCAAATTTTGAAAGAAAAAACAAAATTTCCACAAATTTTATAATTTTCAAATTAACATAAATTAAAACTATTTTTTGGAATGCAAACATTGAACTTTGGTTTCTGGATATCTTCAACGTTCATTATTTCAATAAATTCTGTAATATATTCAAGCATTTTAAAGTTTTATACATTGTAAAGGAAATTTAAAGCTCTTTAAATAGAAAAAAAAATTTCTGCATATTATTAATGATATTTAAGTTTACTTTGGTTAAGGTTGAAATAATAAATTTTTTTGTACTTCCACTTTTACTTGCACTTTTTACTTGTTACTTTCTAATCCTTTGCGGTCGTATGTCTACTCTCAGCCACCAACGATTTTTTACCGTTCCAGTCGTATGCCTGCTCTCAGCCACCACAGCAAAGATGTTAGCCGCAGCTTAATGGCAAACTACACTGTAAAAATTCTGGATAAATGTTGAACCAATACTTGGTGCAAAGTTTCTAATTGCACCATAAATTGGTTAAAGGGAAAAATTGCTTTATTTAGGTTGCACCATAAATTGGTAAATATGATCGAGAAATACGTTCATGGTGCAGTCGATTGCACCAAACTTTCGTACTATGAGAGGCACAAGCTTTAACTGTGACCGATAACTTATTTTGTAACTGTTGACGGATCGACGATTTTGTGATTGAAGAATGCTATCATCTCATGCAAGTTGTCTTTGAAATTAACTATTTCTTTTGCAGGTAAATAAACTTTTCTTATTTGTTTGCATTAATTACAGTTCATTCCTTTCATATCATCCCTAAAAATTTTGTTGTCTGTTCTGAAAGAGTTAGTTTCAAATTTCTTCTTGGAAACTATATTCATTGTATGAATAATTAAATATTTTAAAATCTATATTAGCTCTTTTTCAGTAAATAAGGAGATACATCCATTTTATGCTCACAGAAAGTGCAATACGAGTGATAAATAAACGGTAAATACGGCAATCTTAAGCAGCATAGCTTTCCACCATATTTACAGCTGGAGAAAATTTTCTTGATGCGTGTTTTAATTGCATTCTACCGAACAAAAAAATCATATGTACTTTCTGTTAGGATTAAAACTTTTTATCAATATCTATGCTTCTATTTTGATTTTCATCTTCTATATTGGCCATTTTCGTTCGCAATGTCACATAATTACACGAATTTCTGTCTATACGTTCTTAAAATACCTTTGTTATAAAATTTTCAAAGCGAATTAACAAATTTCGAATTAGCACTAGAGAGAAAGGCAACCGTTGTCATGGAAACTGGGTTTCTCTTTGCCGCATGAAGCAGGAAAAAAAACAAACAAAAAAGTAACTAATATTGGCGCTAAAGAAAACAAAGCGCTAATTTTATTTTATTTACCAAGAATCTTACTGAAATTTTGAACAAAATACCGACAAGAACAAGATTTGTCTTAGGGCATTTAGGAATAAGCTGATCTCTTATTGAATTTTAAAAAAAAATAGATTTTCTTATTGATATTTTTTAACTGAGCGAAGCAAATTTTAAATGAAACAAAATATCGCATTTAAAAAGTTTATAAATACATTTTTCATTAAATCTAAATAAAAAAAAATTACTTAGAGGCTCAATGATACTTTTCTCTAGATACTTATTTTTTCCATGAATTATTATTATTATTTTGTTGATTTATGTATATTAATTTAGCCCACATTTGCGTTTAGTGAGGGAGGAAAAAGCCAACATAAACATAAAATCGAGCGGTAGATTTGATCTTGAAAAAGTTCATATGTATTCTGTATAATATTTACAGTTTTTTATTTTAAAGATAACTTCTTTTAAAAAAATTTTTTTTTTGATTTTAATAGTATTTTTTTTAGTCAGAAATATATTTACTTCTATGAAGCAAAAGAATTTTAGTTAATAAAAAAATGCACACAAACATGTGGAGTTTTAATACCATCCACATGAATACTGCTTGTGTGTTTATCAGCATGTGTTTATCCCGCCCTCTTAGATTCAACAGGTACTCCTTGATCTATCTAAGTGATGATCAAATTGTTCATTTAATATTTTAACAGTTGACAGTTCCTTCTGTAAATTTTTTGCGGGGTCGCACTGCATGAAATTCAATTCAAAATTTCTCATGAGGAGAAATTCTACTTGAGTGGTTTGGTACATTTTAACAACAATAAAAAAATTATAACATTTTAAAATATCAAAACTTTCCTTCCCAAAATCTTTGTGGATGAAAGGAGTCTTAAGATAGAAATACCCCACTTCCGTATAAATAGTTGGTCTCGAAAAAATGTTTTAGATGGTGAAATGTTTAAACATTTTTCTACATATGAACGACAATTTCTCTTTCTTTTTTTAATATTGTATTTTAAAAATAGTAATTAAAATATGACTTGCTTTGATTGATCTTTCTTTGTTTTAAAAATGTAAGGGTTCAAATTTTGCTTCTTCTGTGAAATTATTTCAGTTCCTATACATTCTATTAGCATAGATTACATTATTTTTAATCTTCTTTCATTAGCACAAAGGCACCAACACCTTCAATGCTTTTAATCAAGAAAGAGGCTCAGGAAAAATATTGTTATAACCAGTGCAATTTTCAGAATTCTATAAGGTTATAAACAGTTTTTTTCAAATTTCAAAAGTACTAGTTTCAAGAACAGCTTACAAACAAGAAATGTGTATAGTTTCAAGTTTTGAGAATGAAGAACCTGTGTTTGGCAAAGCAATTATTATTTTGTGAAAGGGCTCCAAAGTCTTATTTGTGTGTAATCTTTTTATATATTGTTGTGTTTTTTACAATCAACTGAAAAATGTGATGTAGTTAAAGTAGTTAAAAATCAATAATAATGAATATATAATAATGAATATATAATAATGAATATAATAATGAATATGTAAAAAAAATATTTCTTTTCTCAAATACTCACCACCATTTACTAATTTGTAAAAAAATGACAGTAATATTTTTCCAAACTGAGTGAAATTTTAATTTATTCATCAAGTGGTAAATTATGTTTGTAAAAAAAGTTATTTAGTTGTATTGTAAATTTTAATTCAGATGAGGCAGAATATATCAAGAAATTTAGTATCTTATTAAAATATTGAAAATTATTTTTAGATGATCCCAAATTTCAAAACTGTGAACATTGAGGCATATGCTAACATAGTTTTTATTTTAAATTACTGTAAATTAAAAATTTTGAATTGAATGCACTCTCTTACTAACAAAAAATACTATCTATTATATTTTTGAGTGAGTATTTCGTATTTTTTAATGAATGCTGTGATATGTATAAAATGGATAATATATTTAAATTTTAAGATTTTGCATAAAAATTATTACATTCCGTCTATGTATACAAGCATCAAAGTGATTGTAAATGAATAAATTATGTTTGAATATCGATCTGGATCTGTATTTTTTTTTGTTAATATTTCCACGTTATGTCATTATTTTTACATTTCTAAATTTGCTTCAAATTTATTATTTCTATACGTCAATGTAGTTAATATTGGAATGTTTCTTAATTAGAGATAAGGGATTGACGAATGCAATATTTGTCTACTGTTTCATATAAAGTTTTATTTGTGAAAGTAATATTTTTATTTTTAAATAATAAAATAATTTCAAAATTCATTGTAATAAGAATTTGTTTCAGCCTATAATTAAAATTCTCTTTTAAACATTAGTTGTACTATCTCTATAGCATCTGATGGTTCTTTAACGAATGAAATGTAAAAAGGAATTTTTATTTTACATATTTCAACTTGAAGAACGAAAAGATTTTTATATGAAAGAAAATATTTTTAAAGCGCCAAAAAAGCAGAGAAAGTTATCATTATTATTAAATATTTAATGATGCTAACTTTCTCTGCTTTTTGGCTCTTTAAAAAAATACCTAATAATGGTGCAACCTACCTAGCTTTTAGTTCCCTTCAAAAATACCAAATCATAGTGCAACCTTCCTCCACTTTTTGTTCCCTTCAAAACACTGGTTTTCGGTGCAACCTTTCGCTACTTTTAGGTTCTTTCAAAATACCCATTTTTGGCGCAACCTTCTCTCGTTGTTTGGAGCTAGTGAAAGCACCAATATATAGTAAAACTGAACACCAATTTATGTAGCCAGGAAATGAATGCCAATGTTTGGAGCAGCATAGCTCAAAATTTTTTACAGTGTACATATATTGCGACAATATGAAGATGTAAGGAGTAAAGATTTGCTCTGTATGTTCAAGCAGAAAAAATAAAGGCGGAAGACGACAAACTAAATATTTTTACGACGAAGTTTCTCGCATATTATTGTGTTACATATATCTAAAGTTCAAAAAAGAATTAATAAATTTTGCTTTTCCTTCATAATCTTTCATATTATTGATTACTGTTCGTTCAACGAAAATTAATTCCGATCAGCATAACATCCCGTGTATAAACCTTATACGACCGCAAAAGGTGTTGAAGTCAAAACTTGTAATTTTTTAATCGTTACTTTTGCTGAAAGTACTCGTTACTTTTTTGAAGTAACGTTTCCATGCATGAATTTAACTGACAAATGTGATTGGAAAAAAAGAAGTGTTTCTTACCACAGTCGTCCACTGTGAATGTAAAGGGTTCTGTGACATCTTCGATAAGTGTAGCGTCAGACAGAGGAATCTTGCCGATGCCCTGATCCGAGAGAAGTTTATGTTGATCACTTTTAGAACGATTCTTTAAGATGCAAACAGGAGAATAGATAGAAAGAGAGAGAAAAACATACACATTCTTCAGTGCTCTCGAAAACTTTTTTTTTTTTTGGATTGGGGAGAAGAAAATTTGATGTAGGGGTAGAAGAGGGAGGGTGAGTGCGAGGGGTCTATAACCTGTGAAGTATATATTAGTCATACAGTCTAAAAACACAAAATTGGTGCTGGATTATTCATTACAGAATTAAAACTGCTCTACCTGTATTGAAAACGATAGTTTTTCTGTTGTGTCATTTGTTACGCCATTTTGCTTTATCAAAAGCTTTGTAGATTTGAAGAGTTTGTTTAAATCATAATTGGTGCCGGATTATTCATTACAAAATTAAAACTATTCTACTTGTATTGAAAAGGATAGTTTTTCTGTTACGTCATTTGTGGCGCCATTTTGCTTCATCAAAAGCTTTGTAGATTTGAAGAGTTTGTTTAAAATCATAATTGGTGCCGGATTATTCATTACAAAATTAAAACTACTCTACCTGTATTGAAAACGATAGTTTTTCTGTTACGTCAATTGTCACACCATTTTGCTTTATCAAAAGCTATGTTAATTTGAAGAGTCTGTTTAAAATCACATGATTAATTTCATTTATTAATTTTAATAAATCATTTTTAAACACCATCAGTAATCGTTTAAATTCTGCGTAAAATATTTTGAACTTTTGGAAATTTCTTAAAAGTATATGAAACAGAATAGTGGAACAGAATAGTGGAAACACTTCTATACTAACACGTGTTCTGTTCTTTTTCAAAAAATACTTAAGGAATCATTTTGTAAATTTATAAGCGCTTAGGTTATGAGATTTCTTATACTTATCAAGGAAGTTTAAAGTTTTTAGAGGTCTGAAGAACAGACAGTAATTTACGAAAGGAAAATGGTATTTTTGAACTCCCTATGCCAAAAAAATGTATCAATAAAGCTTAAAATTTCATTCATAAGTATGAGAAATAGCATGATAGCACTTCTGAAATTTTAAATAATTCTTTTAGTATTTCTTGACAAATGTGAAATACAGAACTACGAAAATTAGTACAGAAGTGCTTCCATTATTTTTTCCAATCACTCTATATCATAAAAAGAATTTTAAAATTGAGATTTTAAAATTGATGAGTCACTTAATTACGTCTATATAATGGAACTATATGTTTGTTTGAATAAGATTGTGCACTGTAAAGAATTCCTAGTCAAATTACAATAAAAATTGGCACCCTGAGTGCTTCATCCGTAAAATTTGTTCCATCATAAAATCTATTTTTACCGCAAAATTTTATATCATCATTTTTACTTAATTGCTGTAATTCAGTGATTTTAGAGCAAATATTTCTTTAAAAATCTTTACAGTAAAATTTACTTAATTGCAGTAATTCAATGATTTAGAATTACAAAACGTTTTATTGATTTCGAAATATAATCACCCGCACATCTCACCTTTAATAATATTTTCTAATATACTTCCAAAAGCAGAAACTAACATTATAGAAGATGAATCGTATGGAACGAATCATATAATTATATCTATTATATTATACCTATTATTTGCATACATTTTATATTATATATATATATTTCTGGATTATATCTATCTGCAATATATTATACTGCCTTTTTATCTATGGGAATGACTTCAGGTATGAATTTTGCACGAAGCGGGTACACTGTAAAATATTTTGAATCAAATTACGGTAAAAAGTACCGGCAATCGGGAAACCGGTACTTTTTATTGTAAAATTAATTTCCATCGAAAGTTTTATAGAGAAAAAAATCTGCTATACCGTAATTTTATGCGTAATATTTACTGTAAAGTCACTGAATCTTTGTAATTAAATAAAGATTACTGTAAAGATTACGGTATAGCAGGGTTTTTGTTCCGTAATCCATATAAATTTTACAGTAATATTTACTGTAAAATATCTGCATCATTGTAATCAAATGAATATTACTGCGAAAATTATGAGATATTTTTTGCGGTTAAACGGACTATATGCACTCAGGCTGTCAGCACTTTCTACCCTAATTTGATCGGGAACTTTTACAGAGTATTCAAAACGTGTATCAATTTTTTGCTAACTGTGATTTAAATTGAAAATAAAAATATTTAATGAAGCTCTCGTAATTAATTTAGCTGTTTGCTTGGAAACCAAAAAAAAATATTTAGAAATGTTCGACGTTGCTAACCGGTGTCCATTGAAAGCACCAGTTGCGGCAAATTATTATTTAAAATAATTATGCTAATTTTTTTTTCTTTTGTGATTATGAAGCATTATCAATTTTTTATATGAATTCAAAGGAACATAAAAATTGGATTTCAAAAAAAAAATGATATATATTTTACTATCTTAAAAAAGTAATTAAAATAAATAAATAAATAAAATTTTGATTCCTTTGAACTAGGCCGATAGTTATTAAATTGCTTTTCAGTTTATTCATTTGTGCTCGTGAGGTAAGAAATGAAAATAAAATAAATTTGGTTGGAAATATTGCTCACCAAAATTAATTTTAAAAAATATATCGCCCTCCACGAATTATGAAAAATATTCACCCTACATATTAAAATACATTCAACTTTAAAAATAACTTAACATTACCGACCTCCCCGCTATAAGCATTGAAAATATTCTCTTAATCCCAAAATTAAAAAACTGTCCCTCAAAATTGACTTTTTGACTACCCCATCTGGTGGCACAATTGATTACTAAATAGCATCGTATAGCTCTCCCCGAACATTTAAATGATTTTCTAATTGAAAACGAACAAAGATTTTTATTATTTAGTTAAATTTTGCAATAAACCAGACATTTATAAAAAAAATTGTCTAAAATTATATGGGAATATTGAATTTATAGCAATAAATGTATCATCTAAGCATACTTATTTTATTATTTTTATTTTACTTGCATGCCAATGATTACTATTTCTTTTATTTTTCTAATCAAAATTTTTGTTTATTAAGGGTGTTGTCTTTAAAGATGTAACACGATGAATTAATTTTAAACTTTTAACTGTCGGAGAACTCATCAATGAAAATAAAAAAAAAATCCTTCAGTTGTATATGAAATGTCCAAATTTGTATGATTGACAAAAAAGAGTAAGAAAAAAGTAATAAATTAAAAAAAATTTTATCATTCAAAGACTGTCCACTATATTCATCATCTTTTCTAAAAAGTAATTTCTTAAAATTTAAAAAAAAGAAAGATAAAAAAAAAACGCTTTGAAACTTATAAAATAAAAATATGTAGGTGAACTGAAGTGATTAAACAACATTCAAGATTTTTTCCGGCAAATTAAAAATTAAATTTTGCAAAACTAAAATTAAGTATTAATCGACTAATAATGATAACAATAAATATAAGGTATAAAAGACGTTTTTTTTACAATAATTATTGTTTAGAATTTAATTATAATTAAAAATAAGTTTTAAGGAATTACTTCTAAGATGGCACAGACATTTATAATAAATGTTTCTTCGTGCGAATTTCGAAGATATAATTTTATAATATTTTTCACTTTCAAAATTTATAAACCACCACAGATATATAAAACCAGTATCTCAAGGAATTTCTTTTTCTTTTACTATGTCGGGGAGAAAAAAATAATTAATTAACAAATGCCGAAGTTTTCAGCTAAATTATTTTTACATTTAACATATATATTCCAGTTAATACCAATAAAAAAAATATGCCTATTTTCAATCAGTATTAAATTTTATAACCTGATGTATACTTTATTATTATTATTTCCGAATTTAGAGATTTCTATATCATAATGCACAAATTTGAAAATTGAATATTATAATGCTGATAAAATTACTTGTGATTAAACTAATAATAACGTAATGTATCGTTTTTTAATTTCTAATATTGTAGCTTTTGCATACACTTACATCAAAAATGGAATGAAATTTTTTAAAAAATCTTAACTTTTTAAACAGTTTTAGTATTTTACTCCAAGTTGATAAATTTTATAGAAATAATTGCTGTGCTATAATGTGAAAAAAAATGAATCCGATATAAAGTTCGGAATGTAAAGTTTGATTATAAATGTTTTTTTCCCTCTTTAATTCTTAAAGAAAAAGCTATTGTATGCAACGTTTAAGATTTTAACTAAAACAATATTTCTTCCAAGATAATTATAGACTATTTTTCCGACCTGCAGATGGCGCCACATATTAAATATATTTTCTAAAACCTTTACGGAAAGTCCATGGTTTCGATAAATTACAAACATAAAAACACTCAATTACGTTTTTTTCTTCTTAAAATTTGTTGATTTTTTGAAGTATTGTTGTGTTTAAACTAAATTTCATATATTTATATTTCTTTTACATTTAAAGCAGCTTTACTTATACGAACAAAACGGTTAAAGTTTTTGATTTAATTCGCCAAAACCATTCTTAAAATATTTTTAATTTTCAGTTAATAACAACAAAATTAGGCCTCTAGCGTGAAATTAATATTATCTGATTATTTATTTGTATTAACAATTTATAAATATTTTTTTATTTATTTATTTCGATTAAAAGGTTCAGGGCAAATTTTTTGTTTTATTTGAGCTCTTTTTCTATTCTTTTCTGTTTCTTAATTTCTTATTAACAGTAAGAGTGTTTTTACTAAATCATAAAACCAAAATGCATACACTTTTGCACTGGTATGTGCAAAAATGTATTGGGCTTAGCATTAATGTGTATTCCATAAAAAATCTCACAATCTTATAAATCTTTCTTTTGTTTAAAAGTTAAGGAAGTTTCTCCTGTCTGGGAATAAGGATGCATAGAACACTCAATTATTTTTTGAAATCAATAATTTTTTGGAAACTCATCGACATCAAGTTTATTCGCATATCTTTTGAAATTGATATAATAAATAAATTAATTCATAAGAATAATAAATTAAATAAAAAGAATAATGAATTAAATTTTATCTCTCAAGCAGTAAAAAAAGACATATTAGGCAATATTTAACCCATGGACC